TCTTTAAGAAGGATGAACGAGTTTGTCCGTGAGGGATTATTCACCTTGGATGATGTGAACTCACTTCAAACTTGTGAATCTTGTCTTAAATGAAAAATGACCAAGTCGCAATTCAAAGGGCAAATGGAACGTGCCGAAGGTCTCTTGGATTTGATCCATATAGAGATGTGTGGCCCACTAAGCGTTAGTGCAAGGGGTGGTTTCAACTACTTCGTTACCTTTACCGATGATTTTTCTAGGTATGGTTTCGTGTACTTAATGAAGTACAAGTCTGAAATTTTTGAAGGGTTCAAAGATTTAGACACCAAGTAGAAAACCAACTTGTCGCCGTATTAAGAAGCTGCGATTAGACCGTGATGGCGAATACTTAAGCGCCGAGCTTATTGACTGTCTAAAGGAGAATAAGATTCTCTCTCTCAATCGACTCCTCCTGGAACTCCTCAATTGAATGGAGTGTTCGAACGTCGGAATCGAACCCTGTTGGACATGGTTCGATCTTTGATGGGGTTCACCGAGATGCCGGCATACCTGTGGGGTCATGCACTCCTAACTGCCGCGTATTTGTTGAATAGGGTTAACACTAAAACAGTTTGTTCCACACCATATGAACTACGGCATACCCGATAATCCACTTACATGAAATGGCTAGTGGGAGACGAGTTGGATAGTCGGGGTATCTCAAAATTGTTTTTGATGCTTATTCTACTATCCCTTGAAACAAAAGTGTTTGTCTCGGGGAATGTCACCTTCTTAAAGAAGAAGTTTCTATGTGATAAAATAAGTGTACGGTAGAACTCGAAGAAATTCGAGAACCACGAATTGAAGTTCCAACACTATAAATAGGACAAGAGCCAATCAAAATCTAATCACCCATTAATGTACCTTCTCAACCAACTATGTGGAGATTCGAAAGGATCCATAGAGAACTCAATAGGCTTATGATCATCGAAGGTAGTCAAAATGAGTTTGACCACGGATATGATCCAAGTACCTTCAATGTGTCTGTATTTGATGCAGACAAGGGACATTGGCGTGAAGCCATGAAATCCAAAATGGATTCCATATAATCCAACAAGGTATGGACCTTGATGGATCCACCCAAGGGAATTTTTCCCGTTGGATGCAAGTGGATCTACAATCTTTAAGATTGGAATAGATGGAAAGGTATCGACCTATAAAGCTAGATACGTGAAAGATAGTTATACTCTAAGACAAGTTGTTGTCTATGAGATAAAGTTTCACAAGTCGCTGTGCTTAAAATCCATTAGGACTTTGCTAGCCATTTCTGCGTAGTATGACTACGAGATATGGAAAATGAATGGTGAAAACCACCTTCCTCAATGGCAAGATTGAGGGAATCAGAGTGGAACAGCCGGAAGGCTTCACATCTTGTCGAAATTGGCAAAATGTTTGCAAATTTCCAGCGATCCATTTGTGGATTGAACCTAGCATCCCATTAAATTAGAATGTTTGATTCCACACGAAAATCAAAGGGATTTGATTTAGTGAAGAGTTCGAAAGAGCCTTAAGTTCACAAGAAGGTTAGTGGGAGCGCCATTACGTTTAATAGTGTTTTGTGTTGGTGGCATTCTACTCATTGGGAATGATGTAGGAATGTTGCAGTCAACTAAAACACGGTTGTCCACACGTTTCTCAATGAATGAATTTAGGGTAAGCTTCCTACGTATTAGAGGATACATATTTATAGAGATAAATATAGGAGGTTGCTTAGCTACCCTAATTCATATTATAGACTTGATATGGTTTATGCAGTGAAGCGTCACTGTAGATTTCAGTCTAACCCCAGCCAAGTTAGTTGGATAGATATGAAAGAAATCCTTGAATACTTGCAAAGTACTAAGGACTTGTTCATATATAGTATTTGGGGATTCCGAGTTGAAAGTAAAGTCGTTCGACGACTTTAGCGTTTCAATCGGAAATAAACAACTTTAAAGGACGTGAGGGATTATATTCATGCTTCATAATGGGGTGCCGTGTGTTGGAAAGAGTTCCAAATGGAACATGACGGCGGATTCCACCTCCGAGGCTTAGAATAATGCGGCATTGGATGACACAAACGTAGCAGTTTGGATTTGAAATTACATTCAAATGTTGAATGTATTTATTCAAAAGATCTCATCAGAAATCCCAGCTGATACAGAATACATATTAATTCATTAGTAAGAAAATTAGTAGAGGCGAACTTTAGTTCGAGAGAGTTGCCTCGGTAGACAACATTCTAGATCCCTTTACTTAGCCTTTTACACAGACCGGTTCATGAGAAACATCGAGAGTCGATGGGACTTAGGTAATGAGTAGTTGGCTTTAGGTCAAGTGCGAGATTGTTAGAGTATGTGACCAATACGCCAACTAAGTGTTGTGTTTTCTCACGCTACTCGTAAATAATCTATTTCAAATGAATGGTAAAATACCTTTTGGCATTCTATATCTCTTATCCCATGCAAGCAGCATAGATATAGTCCTAACGAGTTACTCTATTACTGTGAGTTAATCTAGTAGAATCGTGAGATAACTCAGCAATGTAATGTAACTGTTAAACCTTGTTCCTAGTCGATGAGTTACGCCAATAATGAGGATACCGGCCTTTCCCTCTTGAGACTAGCACTTAGTGTATGTGTACTGCGTCTTATCAGTTATCGGTGTTGTGACATCGGCATACTTGAGTGGGTGCTCATATTAGATGAGTTCACTGAACTCCCTCGCCTAGAAATCTATAAGTGGTTCCCAATCATCGAGTAATAGGTTTCTATGATATAGTTGTGCACCATTAGTCCTTAAGACCCAGACATCACCGTGACTTCACTAGAGGACCGACTGTATCGTGACCTGTCCCTGAGTCCCACCGCGGACCGCTCCAAGGGCCAACGTTCGTGCAGTCCGAAATCTAGTGTGAAGTCTGTGCATTGTAGTAGGGGATTCGAGCGCTTGAGTAGTCATGGATGTCCTGTGTGTTATGTCGGTTTGTAATCCATGGAATCTCCGGCCGGAGTTGATAGTGGGGTGATTAGGGAAATGTGTTTCTCTAAGTCACAAACGAACGGATTATAACACCTAGAACGTTCGCACGGTTATTGAACTTAATAAGAGGTCTCGGTGGACCAATACCTCTAGTTCAATCGGGACATTTGATGCGAAGGGATCGTACTATACGTTAACTATATCACAAGGTTCTTGCAGGCACTTCATTAGTATCTAGGGAATCATGATGCGTAGTTGCTAGACGCCAATCTTGATTCGTTGGGCACCGATTTGATCGGCGATTGAGTAAATGAGTTTTACCCTAATCGGGACTCTTGGGAGGAGTTCTTATAAGAAAAATGTGTTGTTCGAATCACAAAGAGTTGTGAGCTCACGGCTAGCTTACACCTGAACCATTGAGGGTCACACTTCTCGTGTAACATAGATCCTTGAAAAACAACAAGCATAGATTAATGTGTTAATCTTTGCGTAGTTGGATGTCAATATGATTGAATCTAAGATTCGTAATTGTGGATTACGAGTTGGAATAAACGGAGAGAAAGAGATATGCGGAAATTTAGTGAACTTTCTAAATTGGGAAGTTTCCCGATTTAGCAGGTCCACTAAATTAGAAGTTTCCAAGTTTGTAAATTGAAAATTTCAAAGAGGCACTCGTATCGACGAGAACTTTTATGTTCGTCACAAATATAATTTTGTTATAATTTGTGGACGATCGTTTATAAGAGACGAGGCCGACGAGGGGGTGGGCTTAATAGATCAGTGGGTCAATCCCAATGACTTAAGCCCATGAGGGTTATGAACCCTGGTATAAATACAACTCATATGATGAGTTGAGATCAGAATTTACAGCCCCAAACCCTAGCCGCATGAAGCACGGCCGTCCTCCGCCTCACGGCTGCAGCCCCGCCGCTGCACCGCCGCACCGCCGTCGCGCCGCCGCTCTGCCGCCGCCGGTTTCTTCTCTTTTCTTCCTCGTCTTTATTCCCGTTGTTTTCTAACTCTTCTGTATCTAGTGCTGCAGTTAGAGTGGGTCTAGTTGTACGAGGTGAAACCTAATTGGAGAGGAAGAACGCAACTCCACCACCGCCAGCCCCGCACGCGCCGTCGCCGTTGCCACGCGCCGCCGCCGCTGCACCTCATGTGCCGCCGTCGAGATCAGATCGGACCAGCTGCTGTTCGGTCGGTTCTTCGCAGCCTTGGAGTTGTTTAATAGCAGCTTGTACGTGTCTTAGTTTATAGATTTCGATTCGTCGAAATCTCACGCTTCAAGAGGTAAAATCGAAAACCCCTGCAAATTAATTCATAATTGGATTATGTGAATTAATTTGTGAGCATGACAATTATATGAAGAATGTATGTTTTCGATTTCATGATGTTGTATGCAAGCATGCTCGTCTTTGTTTTTCGTTTTATTTAATTTCGATTAAAATATGAAAAATTACCATGTGTATGGCGGAAGCGTTAAGGTATGTTCAATTAATTGATTTATGCATGTGATCGAACATTGAGTTCGATTAAATTTTATTTTCCGCTGCGTATACATGCATCGATCCCCAACAGTATATACAACGATCGTGGATATAGTCCGAATATATATTTGGAGCCAACGTTTCATTCCAAAATGATGGGCAGTTTCTCCAATTCATATTGTTGACTAATAATTTTTGAAACATTTACAACTGGACATAATTCAAATTTAATGCACAGTTAAAATATGTTTTTAGACTAGAAGTGAAATTGGATCCAACAAAGTTGATTTTTCAACCATAAACAAAAAACAGAAAGTATTTGAACATACTATTATCCAACTTAGTTAACGAACTCCTAATCCAAAAATATCAAACAACTAACAATATAATCATGAACCGTACAATCCTAGCCTAACTACACAACCTCCAAACCAAGATCTGACTCTCCGGCAGCCGCAACCTCCAGTGGCTCTCCGTCAACGGCCGCCATCTCCAGCTGTGGCTCCGCGACAGTGGCACCTAATGTAATACCAAGTACACAATGACCTGTACAACCCCGAGTACAAGGCCAATCGTGTTCGGAACCTACAAAGAATAACAGTATATTAAAAATTATAATTATCATATTTAATATAACTAATAATATTTACATTACTTACCCAAATCGCGGCATCTCCCCTAAGGAAGCCGTAAACGCCCCATATGATGGTGTTCACATTGAGGACACACGTGAGTGTGATCGGCATGAAAGCCACACTGCGTGACCTGATAGCTCGAACCTTAAAAGAAAATTGAAAGTATTAACAAATAAAAATAATCAATAATCAGATTACATAAATTGAAAAAAAAAAAACTAATTCTTACCACGCTGCCAACTGTGGCCCCGTACACCGATATGGATGCTCCAAAGCAAATCCAAACTCACAATCTCCTCCCTCGTATTTCCTTTCCACATAAAGAATGTGAAAAGGATAACTGTGCATAATATGCACAACAAGATGCTCAAAAGACGGATAGTCCGAATCTACAAAATATTATGAAATAAACTATCATCGATTTTCTAATTAGTTATATATTTTAATTAATTATCTTATAAAATTACGGGAATTGTTTTACCTGGCGGTGAGGAGGTGAATAGACAATGTACATGATAATGTACACTCTCTCGACAACACAACCGAATGCGTTAACGCCAATCAGTAAATGACCATCTTTCTCTATGGCCCCGTAGTAGAGCCAGATGCCCGAGGACATAAGCGCAACGGTGTAAGGCATCACCGAGTACCCCACCGTCGACTTCTCACCGTATATCTTGATAAACGTGAGCCTGCATTAGGATATTTTTAGGGATTTTTTTAGGGAATTTTTTAGGGATTTAATATGATTTCGGTTCCGATTTTGGAGGAACCGAAATCGAACTGAATATTTTCGGTTCCTTGTGGTTTGGTTCTTTACAGTTCCGGTTCGATTCCGGTTCGGCTCCCGGTAGAACCGACCGGTTTTGACTATATATATATATGATGACGCTAAAGTTAGATCACCTTAAATAGTTGAAGTAGGATGAGCTGGAAGAGCAGAGTGGATCACTAGCTCACGAGCTTGATGACCTTGAGATATCTGCGATCATAGAACACGTGAACTAGGCCGGGAGTTGATCCGGCGGAAACCCCTCCACTGCTCAAGTCAGACGTGCGGATAGTAGGAATAATGTG